GGGCTCGTCTCTCATACAGGCCTTCTGTCTGCTTTAAGTACTTTAGTTTACATCCAAAAGTCTAATGATTGGTTTTTTTCTCCTTAAGGTGGTGAATATTTTATTCAGCTGGGAAATAGAAGAGTACTCTGAGTAAAAATATGCCTCCCAAGTTCAAGCGACACCTCAATGATGATGATGTCACTGGTTCTGTGAAAAGTGAAAGGGTAAGTTTAGAATCTTAAGTTTTAGAACAAGAAAGAGTCAACATGTTTTCACTCCCTTTGTAAATAATATAAAAGAATCTAAAGTTTATGGCTACTGTAGGAGCAGCAAAGGTAGTGATCCCTTTCTTGCTCATACTGAAGGATCATAGCTGACACCCCACAACAAAAACAGGTTAAGAAGAGGAACATTGAACAGATTTATATGTTCACAGTTTTGTATGTGTCAACAGGACCCAAAGACCCAGAGTGAATTATACATTTTTATGCTCAGGTTTGATGAAGTAAGGGCAGCCATGTAGAAATAGGGTTGAACTAAAGGGTGTTATCTAACACTAATAGACTCAGGGGAGGGGGGGAGGCCAGCAAGGCCTGTCTGCTCGAACTTTCCTTGGCCTCCCCGCAGCAGTCCTTCCTTCTGAGTATGGGGCAGTCAAAGAAGGTAGGTTAGTGAATGTTTTATGGCCAACTTTTACATAGAAAGGAGAAGATTAGGTTAATATTTTTAGGTTTTATGACAGTATTTGGGGAAGGGGGGTTCTGGGTTTTGTGACCTCCTTTGGGGAAAGGAACTGCGGTCCCTGTAGCTTGCCTTAGGGGAAAACTTGATAGCAGGGGACAGTCAGAGAGAAACCTTGCTATGAGGCTGCTTGTGAAGCTTTTACTTCAGGGTGTCAATTTCGGAACCCTATCACCACCATATTCTAATCTTACTTTTTTCAACTTCATAGTAAATGTCTTAAAAAATATATGTTGCTTAGATTGATAATAGTATTTCAAGGAAAAAAAATTTTTTTGGTACCTGGGATTGAATTCAGGAGCATGCGACCACTGAGCCATATCCCCAGCTATTTTGTATTTTATTTAGAGAGGGGGTCTCACTGAGTTGTTTAGCACCTGGCTTTTGCTGAGGCTGGCTTTGAACTCATGATCCTCCTGCCTCAGCCCCCTGATACGCTGGGATTACAGGCGTGTGCCACCATGCCAAGCTCAGGGAAAATTTTATACAACTATATAATGTCTTATTCAGAACTCTGGAGCCAAATATATTTGAAATTTAGAGTTTTTCAGATTTAAGTAAGGTAGTTAAGTATATAGCTTTTAGGGGTCTGAACTAACACCTCCAAACATATTAATATTTCTTAGTGAAATATATGGGTTATCTATATAAATAAAATAGCTAAAGTCAATTCAAGTCAGGTTTTCCTCCAAATGAGGTTTTTTTTTGGCAGGGATTAAGTACTGGGGATTGAACTCAGGGATACTCAACCACTGAGTCACATCCCCGGCCCTATTTTGTATTTTATTTAGAGACAGGGTCTTTCTGAGTTGCTTAGCACCTTGTGGTTGCAGAGGCTGGCTTTGAACTCATGATCCTCCTGTCTTAGCCTCCCAAGCCACTAGGATTACAAGCATGCACCACTGCACCCAGCCCAAATGAGTTTTGACACCAAACTTATCAAAGCTTTTTGGCTTATTGAACTTTTTAGATTTTGAAATTATATATGATAGATCCTGGACCTGTGACTGTCTCAGAGTCCAGAATGCCTTGTTCATGATGCTTCAATTTCTAGTTCATTTTAGAAATACGCTATGTTTAGGGATTGGGGGTATAGCTCAGTTTTAGAATGCTTTCCCAGCATGCATGAGGCCCTGTGTTTAATCCACTTCACTGAAAATAAGAGAGAAGGTGGTGGGATAGATAAATAAATAAATAAATCAAGGTATTGTGCAGCATCTTGAAAGACAGCTTATCATGTGACTATTACAGATAGAATACTTATTCTATCTATAGAATTATTCTATCTATAGAATATTTTTTGAGGGAAGGAAATATATTCTTTTCCTTTTTTAATCTGGTAAACGGAAGCCTCCCTTACTTCCTTTCTTCTTGTCATCCTTCTATTTACTGATCCATTCCACAAGTACTTATTAACCACCTACTGCGTGGTAAGCATGGTGTTAAAACCTAGGGGGCTCAGTTGCTGCCCTTAAGAGTTCTTGGTCTGTTTGACTTTATTTTTATTTTTAATTTTTTTAATATTTTCTTTTTTTAGCTTTAGATGGATACAATGTCTTTATTTTTATGTGATGCTGACGATTGAACCCAGTGCCTCACGCATGCCAGGCGAGCGTGCTACCACTTGAGCCACATCCCCAGCCCCTGTTTGACTTTATTTTATATGCTCCTTTTTTGTGTAACTTTGGAACTTGATATTAATCACTCAACATTTTATGATTTAGAAGTATCTTTTAATATAATACAAAAAGTATTTGTCCTTAGTTTGTTTTTGTTTATGTTTTTGATGGGGAGAAGAACCCACCAAAAGACTGATTGCTATTTAGCTTTTTAAAATGAGCTGAACTCATATATTTAAAGATATAAAATGTACAGTCTCAATCAGTACTACTACTGAGACTGTAACTGTGACTTTCTCTTTACATGTGGGTTATTAGCACAATTGACTGTAAAAATTGGATATTGAACACCTGAACTGAACAAAAATCCACTGTTTAAATAGAGCCTGCCTTTGGATATTTATGAGATTTTGAAGTTTCATAACTGATTGGTTCTAATAATTGCTTTTTAAATTTTTTAAGTTTTGTTACTCTTTCCAATTATAATTTTTGCAGCTTTATTGAGATATGATTTATATAACATACAACTCACCCATTTAAAAGGTACAATTTAATGGGTTTTGGTATATTCACAAAGTTGTGCAGCCATCACACGGTCTAGTTCAGGGTTTTTTATCCTCCCTAAAAGAAACTCTGTGCCCTTCAGCAGTCATCCCCATTCTCTCCATTCCCTCAGCCCTAGGCAACCAAAAACCTATAGATTTACTTATTCTAAACCCTCTTTTTTGTACTGGGGATTGAACCCAGGGGTGCTTAACCACTGAGCTATATCTTCACCCCTTTTTGTTTTTTATTTTGAGACAAAGTCTCTGTACGTTGCTGAGGCTGGCCCTCAACCTGCATCCTCCTGCCTCAGCTTCCCAAGCAGCTGGGATTACAAGTTGTACCATTGCACCTGGCTATTCTGAACCTTTTACATAAATGAAATCATACAATATGTAGCTTTTTGTGACTGGCTTCTTTGACTTCCATAATGTTTTCAAGATTTGTCAATGTGGTAGTATGTATCAGTACTTTATCCTTTTTATTAACTGAATAATGTTTCATTGTATGGATGTACCACATTTAGTTATCCATCAATTGATGATGTTTGGAATTTTTCCTGACATTTTGGCTATTGTGAATATTGCTTTTATGAACATTAGCATACAAGTTTTTGTTGAACACATTTTCATTTCTTATACTTACATACCTAGACATCGAATTACTGATTGTTAGAGTAACTCTAATGTTCAACCTTTGTAGAATTGCTAAACTGTTTTCCACATGGTTGCATGGTGTTTTATATTCCCACCAGCACTGTGACGGTTCCAGTTCCTCCACACCCTCAAACAGTGCTTGCTGGGTGAAGTGGTATCGCATTGATATGTAAAAGGCATTGGTTTTCATGTGTGTTTCCAGTATAAAACTAGAATAAACATACATTATATCTTCTAAACCAAATAAACTGGATCATAAACCATTATATTTTTTCTGTTTTTGGTGCTGGGGATTGAACTCGGGCACTTGACCACTGAGCCACAACCCCAGCCCTATTTTGTATTTTATTTAGAGACAGGGTCTCACTACGTTGTTTAGCACCTCACTTTTGCTGAGGCTGGCTTTGAACTGGAGATCCTTCTGCCTCAGCCTCCTATAATCCTGAGCCATGGGATTATAGGCATGTACCACCATGCCTGACATAAATCATTGTACTTTAATCAGCTTTTGTTTTATATAATTTGAAGCCATATTGTTATGTATATAAACTCATTGCTGTTAAGTCTTCTTGGTGGATTGTGTATTTTATAATTATAAAATTATTATTTGATTGTTTAATATGTCCTAAAAATTTCTATTTAGATTGATAGTCTTTTGATAGAATTTTCTAAGGTTTCTTTTCTACCACTTTTTTATTTTTCATTTTTTTGACCTCTGTTGTAGACAATTTTCTTGAAAACAGATATAGGCTGGAATTTTTTGAACTCTAATCATATATAGTTTTTGTTTTTGTCAGGGCCACTCAGACCACTCATTATTGTGATGACCAATACATTTGGACTTTTCCTGTGCCAGGTAGTCCTTCAGCCTGCAGTGGATGTTCTTTACCCTGATATTTGGCTGTCTCTGTTATCAAGGAGCTTTGGGTCTCAGCTTACATTTCACTCACCTCTTGAGAATGATTTTCATGTTGTCACACCATCACTTTTGTCCCGTCACTGTTTTAGTTTCCTGAACAGCATTATCACAGTCACATTTTTCTATGAACGCTCAGTCAAACCTTGTCTGTCTCATTCACAGCTGGTTTGGATCTTAGAACAGTGCCAACCATGTGGGAAATGCTCAAAAATACATGCTAAATGAAGGTCAAATACGTCCTTCTTTCACTGTTTTACTGTTCATGTTATGGAGTATTTAGTTTACATATATATGAGGATATTCTTTGTATTTTAATCCTTATATAATCAATCCTAGATTGATTCCTTTTCCTTATCTCTCTCCTTATCCTTGGAACCACTAGGCAGTTGAGAAATTTTACTGCCTTTCTCCATCCATTCCTCTTTCTGTTATTAACTTTATATTGTAACAGTAATGTTTAAATCTGTTCTTCATCAGCTTACTAGAAACAGGTGACCTTCCGTTGTGTTGTCTTTCACTCTAGCCCTTCCCCTCCCCCTCTTTCCTGCCACTTCTCCCTGAGACAGGCGTGTTGGTCACACTCCATGTCCCAGCCTCAGAGCTTTGTTAGAAAAAAGTTTTAGGCTCTTTTTAAGCTTTTCCTTGGATTGTGCCTTTTCCTTTTCAGTAATTCTAACTTACAGTTCACCGTCACGTTACCATCAAACATTTAAACCTGACCACACATCAGATTCTCTGATGATCTCTGTCTTAGGAGGTTTGTTCTTAATTTTCTTTTTGGCTGGTGTAATTTTTTGAGCAATTTCCTCAGAAAAGGTACCTGAGTGGTATATTGGTTTCCTATTGCTACTGTAAAAACTACAAATATAAAGCACGAAATTATGATCTTGATTTCTGGTGACCTGAAGTCCAAGATGAGTCTTACGGGGCTGAAATCGGGGTGCCAGTGGGGCTGTTTTCCATTCAGAGGCCGCAGGGCAGAAACGGGTTTTGCCTTTCCCAGTTCCTGTCTGGGCTCATCATGTTCTTTCATCTTCAAGTTTCAATCTCTCTATCTCCTGCTTCCATTTTATAAGAACCCTGTGAGTAGCTCTGGCCCACATGAATAATCTGTCATGAATTTGCCCCTTTGAAGACCTTTAATCACCTCTGCCAAGTCCCTTCCTACACCCTTGCTCACGCAGTCACAGGCTTTGGTGGCTAGGACATAGGCCTCCTTGGGGAGCCATTATTTTACCTGCAAGCAATCATATTCTGTTTGAGTTCTTGTCTGAAGGTCTGGGTTTTGCTCTTCTATAGCCTCCTTTTGGGACTTCATGTCTTCCCATTTGGGGGGCGGAGAGAGACCACTTCATTTTAATGAAGAATGTCCTATCTGGTGAGGTAAGAATATAAGGTTTTTGTGTGGGAGTTCAGATTTGTGTAGAGTACTGTTTATGGACTTAGCAGCTAGAAGGTGGACCAAGCCAGTTACTAGGCCTTTGCTCCCAGCTCTGGTTACCCTCCTCTTGTCCTCCATTGCTGCAGTTGGACTCCACAAACTACATTCCTTCTCTGCCGTCTGGTTCTCTGTTAATTTCTGCCAGTGCAGAGACACTGGGAGGAATGAGAAGGGGCTTCTTTCTAACTGCCTGCAGCATCAATTATAGGATTCTGGAATTATAAGCATTTTCTTTGGAAGGTCTGTAAACAGTTCCATATCATTTAGCTTCTATTGAAGTAAATGTGATTGATCATTCTTCCCTCTGTCTGTAAGCTTGGAGAAATTCACTATATAGAAATTCACCAGTATAGAACTTGTTTCATTACTTCTCCTTGACATTTTATAAGCCCTCTGAATCTGAAAAGTCTTTTTCTTTCTTTCTTTCTTTCTTTCTTTTTTTCTTTTTTGACAGAGAAATCTTTTGGAAGATGATTCAGATGAAGAAGAGGACTTTTTTCTGTAAGTTTTTTGAACAACTTTTTCAAAGTATAATTGACAATCAAATGCATATATTTAAAGTGTACAATGAGTTTTGACATACAAACTATGAAATCATCACTAAAATTAAATAATAAATATAGCCATCACCCTAAAAGTTTCCACATACCCCTTGATAATCTGTTGCTTTCCTAGTCCCTAGGCAACCACTGATATGCTATCACTGTAGTATATATTTTCTAAAATTTTATGTAGACTAAATCATAGAGTATGCCCCCTTTTTTACGGGCTGCATTTGCTCAGCATGATTATTTTGAGATTCAACCATGTATCAATAATTGGGTTTCTTTTTTTCTGAGTAGTATTCCATTGCAGAATATACTGCAATTATCTGTCTATTCACTTGTATATGGATATCTAGGTTGTTTCTAGTTTGGGGACATTACAGATTAAGCTGCTGTAAACATTTGCATAAAAGTTTTTGTGTGGACATACACTTTTATTTATCTTGGATAAATATCTAAGAGTAAAATACTTAATGTGCATTTACAACTGTTTTTCAAAGTGTTTGAACTATTTTATATTCTTTTTATTTATTTAATTTTTTTTAGTTGTAGGTAGACACAATACCTTTTTATTTTTATGTGGATCTGAGGATCGAACCCAGTGCCTCACACATGCTAAGCGAGTGCTCTTCCTCTGAGCCACAACCCCAGCCCTATTTTATATTCTTACCAGTACTATGTGAGAGTTTTAGTTGCTTCAGATTGTAACCAACTATATATGGTCAAGCTTTATTATTTTAGATATTCTAGTGGGTGTGTAGAGGTATCTCAGTGTGTTTTTAATTTGCATTTCCCTAATGAAAACTGATGTTGAACATCTCTTGATGTGCTTATTTTCCATCATTATGCCTTCTTTGGCAAAGTATATGTTCAACTCCTGTGTGAGTGTGTGTGTGTGTGTGTGTGTGTGTGTGTGTGTGTGTATGTGTTTTGCTCTAATTCAATCAAGCCCAGGGTTTCATACATGCTTATTTTCTTATTATGTTGTAAGAAAGATACAAGTTCTTTGTCATATATATGTGCTTTGCAAATATATACTCCAAATCTGTAACTTAACCTTTTCATTTTTGGAACAGTAGCATTTGAAGATTAATTGGGTTTTGATGAAATCAATTTATTGAATTTTCTATATTGTTTTTCTTTCTTTATATCTTATTAAAAAAATCTTTCTCAAACATAATGTACTATGATTTTCACCTATGTCTTTCTAGGAGTTTTATAGTCTTGGCTTTTAAATTTAGGCCTGTAATCCATTTTAAGTTAATTTTTATACATGGCTGAGGTAAGGATGAAGGGTTTGGGGGTGGGGTTGTAAGCCATCTAATTATTTCATTTGATGAAAAGGTTTATTCTTTCCCTATTGAATTATCATGGTACTGTACTGAAAACTATTTGACCTGGCTAATCTTTTTTTTCAGTTGTAAATGGACACAATATCTCTATATTTATTTTTATGTGTTGCTGAGGATTGAACCCGGTGCCTCACATGTGTGAGACAGGTGCTCTACCACTGAGCTATAGCCTCAGCCCCCTGACCAATCCTTTTAGTTTTAATTTGAAATCACTCTCATGCAGCCTAGGTTTGTGTCTGTGAAGCAGTGTTGTAAGAGTCTTTGCTGGGAATTGTTGCCTGAGGGGAAGCGCTTACCTTCTACTTCATTAACATATTGTGACATGTTTTTTTGTGGAGGCTGATTTTTGATGAAAACATTTTATAAAATCAATTGAAACCCATGAAGCAGTGGGCAAGAGCTTATAGGATAGAAAGCAAATACAGGAAATTGTATTATTTTTGGCAGGAATGTCATAAATATGGGGATGTAATTTGTTAGAGGTGACAAGCTTTCCATAAGCTACTTGCCTACAGTACCTTTTATGGTGAGAAGTCTTAGATGAAAGGGTAGTTACTAGGAACTCAGTGTTGAAAAGAAGGGCAGATGCTTTGGGTAGATAAGTGATTTTCTGAATGTAAGGTAGATGCCCTTGTGAGAAATAACAACTCTTTGGGCCAAAAATGTACTGATGTCCACTCCCATATAATGCTGTATGCCTTCCAAAGGGCCTGACACCCTAAGTGGCACACCCCCTCAATATCCAGCTTCCATATCCGGCTTCCCCTACATGTTGAAAGGAAGACAAATAAAATTCTCAAAATAATATTTGAATATTACTTAACCCCCATGTTTATAACAGCAGTATTAACAATAGACAAAAGGTGGAAACAGCCCAAGTGTCCCGCACCAGATGAATGTATAAACAAAATGTGGAATATACATAAATGGATATTGTGTTGAAAAGGAAGGGAATTTGATGTCTGCTGCAACATGAATGGACTTTAAAGAAATCATGCTAAGTGGGGGCTGGGGTTGTGGCTTAGCGGTAGAGCACTCGCCTCTCCTGGGTTTGATCCTCAGAACCACATAAAAATAAATAAACAAAATAAAGACATTGTGCCCAAGTATAACTAAAAAAAAATATTAAAAAAAAAAAAAAGAATGCTAAGTGAAAGAAGCCTGTCACAAAAGGAAAAGTATTTGCATGATGCCCCTTAGATGAGGTCCCTAGAGTATAGTCAGGCTCAGAGAGACACAAAGTAGAATGGGGGTTGCCAGGGCTGTGAGGAGGGGAGAATGGAGAGTTGTGTCTAATTGGAAAGATAAAAAATTTCTGGAGGTGAATGGTGGTGATGGTTACAGAATAATTGAATACACTTAATGCCACAGACCTTTACATTTAAAAATGATTAAAATGGCACATTTTGTTATGTACTTACTGTAATTTTAAAAACTGACAAAAATATTGACTTTATACTTGTGGCACTATTTCTAGACTCTCTTTACTTCATTGATCTGTATGTCCATCTTACATCAATACCACACTTCCTTGACCACTGTCACTTTTTAATAAGTTGCAAAGTAGTATAGTGTATGTCCTCCAACTTTACACTTCCTTTTCAATGTTCTTTTGGCTAATTGGGCTTTAAAATTTTTAATGTAAATTTTAGAATCATTTATTTGCTTCTACAAAAGTTCCTGCTGGAATCTGGGTTGCGGTTGCATTGAATCAGTATACCCATTTGGGGAGAGTTAATGTCTTACCAATATTGGGTTTTCTGACTCATGAATATAGCTTATCTTTGTAATTATTAAGGTCCTTAATTTCTCTCAGTTATTTATTTTTTAATTGTAGTTGAACACAGTATCTTTATTTTATTTATTTATTTTTATATGGTGCTGAGGATCGAACCCAGGGCCTCGCACTTGTAAGGCAAGCGCTCTACCACTGAGCCACAACCCCAGGCCCTCAGCAATGTCTTAGTTTTCAGATTCAGATCTTTATTTATTTATTTATTTTTTGACAGATTCATCCATAAGTATTTCATGCTTTTTTTTCTTTTCACATTTTTATTGGTGAATTGTAGTTACACATAAGGATAGGATTGTTGTTACGTGTTCATACGTGCAGTGCACACAGTATAATAATATGGTTTGGCCAATATCCCTCCCCAGCACTTCTCCCCTCCCCCTTTCTCCCATCCCTTGTCTCTTTCCTCTCCTGATCTACTTTTGATTTTCATGAGATCCTTACCCCTATCTTCTTTTTCTTTTTTCCAACTTCCATATGAGAGAGAACAAAATATTTCATTTAGATTTTTTTCAATTTCTTATTATTCATTGCTAGTATGTAGATGTAGAGTAAATTAATGCTAAACCTTGCTAAGCTCTCTTATTTATTTTAATAGTATTTTTATGAATTCCATTGTGTTTTCCACATAAATAATTATATTGTCTACAAATAAAGATAGTTTTACTTCTGCATTTGTATGCCTTTTGTTTCTTTGTCTTTCCTGTTTTGCTCTGGCAAAAACCCCAGTACCATATTGAATTAGAAGTGGTGAGAGAGAATGCTCTTCCAGAGCTCCCTTAGGGCGAAACATTCCTTTTTTTTTTTTTTTTTTACCATTAAGTTTGATTTCATTGCATTTTTTTTTTTAAAGATGCCTTTTATCAGGTTGAGGAAGCTCCCTATTGTTCCTAATTTGCTAAGAAATAGATGATGTCATTTATCATCAATTTTGAAATTTCAAGCCAACATTGTATTTCTGGAATAAATCATTTGTAGTCATTAAGCCATTGTTGGCATCAGTTAAGATTTTGTGAAGAATTTTTTGCATTTATGTTAGAGATATTATTGCTGGCTACTGGTTTAAGATAAGGTGGGCTCCATATAATGATTTGGGAGATGTTCTGTATTTACTTTTCCAAAAGAGTTTCTGTAATATTGCTATGTGTCTACATTGAACATTTGGTAGAATTCATAATTGAACTCATCTAGTCCCCAAATTTTTTTGTAGGAGTTTTTACATGATTTTATAATAATTCTAGATTTACAGAAGGATTACATGGTTAGACAGAGAGTTGCCATGTGTCCTTCACTCAGCTCTTTGTAGTAAATCCTACATGACTATAGTGCAATTGTCTGTAGTGAGGTCCCCACTTTGCTTCTGTTAGTAATTGTGTCTTCTCTTATTCTGTACTTGCTGCCCTATCTGTTTTTCCTGTATGATCTGACCAGACGTTTATCAAAGAACCAGCCTTGGGTTCGGGTTTTATTTTGTTTTTTTCCTCAGTAACATTCTAAAGTCTCATGTTATGTAATAAGTGAAAACAAATGTAGCCACTGCTGCTTTTTTTTAACCTGTAGTTGGAATAATTTTAATTTAATAATTTTCAGATGGCTGTCTCACTTTGCGGTTTCCTCATTGAATGACTACTTTTTTATGCTTTTCAGTTGACCCATTTGTAGTTCCTCTGGTTTAGAATATTAGTTTTCTCTGTGGAATTCAACATTTAACTTGTACTTTGGGATGAGATACTGGTCCAGTTTTTTTTTGTGTGTGTAAGGGGGTGGTACTAGGGATTGAATTCAGGGGCACTCAGCCGCTGAGCCACATCCCCAGCCCTATTTTGTATTTTATTCAGAGACAGGATCTCACTGAGTTGCTTAGCACCTCACTTTTGCTGAGGCTGGCTTTGAACTCACAATCCTCCTGTCTCAGCCTCCTGAGTCCCTGGGATTACAGGCATGCGCCAGCCACCATGCCTGGCTACTGGTCCAGTATTCTAAGGCTTAATTGCAGTTTTAAATACTTGGAGGAAGAACTTAGAGGAATTAAGGCAAGTTGATATTTTCATATTTATTCATTATGTAAATAAGTTTTAATAGGCAGTTTAACCTTTTTCTCCAAAATGTTTTTCTTGTCACAAACTGGATTTTTTTTTCACCTCCTTTAGAAGTTACCCTATGTCTAGAAATTTAAGAACCTTGTTTCTTTTGAGTTACCTTATTCACTACCTTCAGTAAAATGATAATTAAAATACTTAAAATATCTAAAAATTTCCATTTTGAGAATGCTAAAATGAATTAAGGTTATATACCCTTGACTTTTATAAAGAGATAATAATTTAAGAAATGTTAATATTTTTAAGATTCTTGTTTTTCCCCCTTTTGCTGTTGGTAGATTTAAGATGAGTAATCAAAATACATACGTAAAATTTTTTAGTGTTTTGAGTGAATAGTTTTCTCTATTCATCTCTCAATCAACATTCCTAATTATCAATGTCCTAAATTCAAGGTGATTTGCACTTTTAGTTGCTCAAGAATTGATTATAAAGGTATTCATAGTCACTGGGCAGTTTATTTTTATTATTTCAGAGTTTAACAATTAGGGAAAAAAACTGCATTTCTAAGGGTTGTATAAGTCCTCATTTCTCATAAAGTTTTAACACTTAGAATAATTAAGGTAATTGTGGCCAATGGTAACTACCAGTGAAGTAAAGACCAGATTATGTATCATGGAGTTCACCAATACTCGTAAAATGTCATTCCTTCCGGTAAATGACTGATCCATGTGTATCTCACATGATTGCATATATGGATGTGTGGTTTTGTTTTTGTTTTTGTTTGATATGACCACTACTAATATATACTGGCTATTTTATTTTCAGAAGGGGGCCATCTGGACCAAGATTTGGACCTAAAAATGATAAAATTAAGCAGTAAGTTCCTGAATGCTTATTTAAATCCATATTTTCATGTGAACTGGGGTGTTTTTGTAAACAGAATTTTATTGGAATGCAGCCATGCCCATTTGTTTTCATATTATCTGTAGTTGCTTTCTAACTATAATGGCAAAGTTGAGTAGTTATGACAGAGAATTGAAACAAAGAAATACCTTATGACCCATGAAATCTAAAATATCTTGACCCCTAAAATAGACAATATAGCTACTGGGTTATAGAAACCTAATTATATTTTCACAAAGTCACTTTGGAATTATAACTCAGCAAATGCAGAATTGATGGCTTCTCTTAATTGCTTTATGTCAAATCCACTTATTTAGCATAATCTGAAGGTCTCTTTGGGTTTTGGTTTTAATTTATCATTTGATTGCCATTATCAGAATCATAATAGATTTTTTTTTAATGTAGCACAGCTTTTATTTACTTCCAGAATTTTTTCATCTCTAATATTTAGGCTAATCCCTATATTGATCTTAGTTTCATGGCTAATTTTTGGTCTAAAACCTTTGCTGTACGTGTGTTACTTGATGGTAGAAGTATGACATGAGTAACAGGCTGTAGTGAATGTACCTGATGTTAGAAAGATGGGACCTTGTTGAAGGGGAGAGGAAGGGACAGAGCAGTGAGTCACGTGAGGCCAGGTCCTGGAAACCAGCCAACCTGCAAAGACTAACTGTGGAAGATAAACTGAGTAACTCATGTTCAGGACCTAAGGAAGGGTAATAGCCACTGCCCTAATTCTGGGTATAGTTGAAAAGGTGCTGACTGGAGTCTGTAGGAATTGGTGAGGCAGTTGGATTTAGTCAAGTACCGTTGATGTAATAAATATATCCATACTTAGCCTAATCCTGACCTTACTTTGTTCTAAGATACAGAACCAAGGTACAGGCCGAGTATCCCTTATCTGAACTGCTTGGGTTCTGAAACTTTCAGATTTCAGATTATTTCTAAATTTTGGAACATTTGCATGTACATAATGAAATATATTGGGGATGGGACCCAAGTCTAAACATGAAATTTATTTATAATTCTTACATCCATAGCTGGAAGATAATTTTATACAATACTTTTAGTGTGCCCGTATTTTGACTACAACCCATCACAGGATGTAAGGGAGGAATTTTCCATGTGTGGCATTATATCAGCACTCTAATAAAAGTTTTCGATGTTGGAGCACTTTGGATTTGAGATTTTCAGATTAGGGATATTCAGCCTGTACCAACATGTTGATTAGAGTAGTGGACTTGCTGAATTAACTTTTTTCTGCTATGTAACAAATTATCAAAAGCTTAGCAGTTTAAAACAACACATATTTATCATCTCAGCTTCCATGAGACCGGAAGTTCAAACACTGCTTAGGGGTGCCCTCTGCTATAGATTTCACAGCCTGCGGTCAAGCTGTTAGTAGGTGTGTAGCTCACTTGAAGCTTATGATCAAGCTCAGGTGGTTGACAAAATTCACTTCCTTGCAGCTGAAAAACTCATGGTACTCACTGCTTCTAGACCAGCAGCAGAGAGAATGTTTACTGTTTCCAGTTTCTGATTTGCCAGTAAAGATACAAGCTGCTTTTGGGTTCAGGCCATTTATTACATAACAAAAGGAAGAGTAACCAAAAATACCAGCTTCTAGGATCATTGTCCCACACACCAAAAATGATACCAAATGAGAGGGCCCAGTGGCTGCAATACCATTGTATATCCTATTACAAAGGAGCTATTTCTCACTGCAGCTAAGTGGTTTTTATAGTCTGCAGATAGAACCTGCAGGAAGTTTATACCTCATCAGTACCTGGGTATGATGAGAAACTATCTGTGTCAGTCCCCTCAGGAAGACATGGAGGTTGATGGGAGATGGCCTCATGAGCCACTCATTTGGTCAGTGTTCCACGGGATTCACAAGATATTCTGCCAGGACTCAGATGAAAGGTGATTCAAGCATACGTGGATGCTGCAAGGGTGTCATTGAGTAATGGCTGAGAGTAATTCCCTACTTGGAGCCAGGGTAACTTCTCTATTTACCCACACGGTTGTTCCTGGTGTGATATACTTCCGCAGAGTGAGCCTGGTGCAGGATATGGCCTCTTGGGTCTGTGGAGCATGATTTTACAGCTGAACCCTAAAAACCATTGCCATTACAGAATATGTATGTGTGTTAGTAACTGCCAGACACACACACACACACACACACACACACACACGCACGCACGTACATACTTAAACTACCACAATAACTGGGATCACAGGATTGTAAAATAATAAAGAATTGTTAAGTGTACTAGTTCTTACAGTAGAGCTGAAGACGTGAGTAGATTTAGTTAGAAGTCAGCTTTGAAATGCAGAGTAAACCTTGATGGCCCAACTTCATGAAGGGGACATGACTCATCACTGTGTCCAACCAAGGTGGTAGATACAGCTTGATATACCACTTACCCAAGAAAAAACTCCCTGGTATTAGTTTAGCATGCAGAATTAGTCAGTTTCTTTAAAGATAAGTTATCACCACTTAATTTGTAACATTTAGGGCATTTCTTGACTATATAGATTAGCAGTATTATTGGTTTATTTTAATTTGACCACTAATTATTAATGTTGATAATAGATTAATACCACAAAAATTACACCATCCAGTTTTAGGGAATATTTTTTTGGGGGGAAATGTTTTTTAAACATTCACATGTCTATATAAAATTGTATTCTCTTTGGAATGTTTCCTTTGCTTTTAAATTCAGTAACAACACTTCAAATGCCATTTTAGTGACTTTAGACATTCTCTGTTACCAGTAGGGAATCTCTCAACTAGAGCCTTGGTCCAGATCCCCAGAGAATAGTTCCATGATATAATAGTTACATATGTGTAGTTGCAAAAATACAACATAAATTTAAGACATTTGTCAACAATACCTTAAAAGGCCACAAGATGGGGATGTTAACTATGAAAATAAATATTTACAAACTAAGGATGAGTGTATGTGTGTACGCTCACGTGTGCACATCAGTATGATTTTTTTTTTCTTAATGGAAAAGCACTGGCATTTATCACATGTCAAGCGAGACAATTTATCGTTTTCATTTTAAAAGTGAGAAAATACAAGACTAAAAGGCTCATGAGGTGACTTCCACAGTTACGCGCATAGCAAATGGCAAGTTGGATTGCAAGTCTGGTTCTGAATGAATATAAATCCCATGATTGTCTAGACTACACCACTAGCTTACCTACTGATGATTAGATTAGAGGACACTTCAGGAATCCTGTACTATCAGACTCAAAGAAGATTTAAAACTGCATAAAGAATTCCTTTTCCTCTTTGTAGCTCCTCTTTTCCTAGATATTTTCTCTTTTGTGTCCTTTCTTCTACCATATGACCTTACAGTCATGATGTAAATCTCTTACCTTCCTTTACAAACTTGCTTTTCCTTTGAGTTCTTAATTTTCTGTTTCACCCATACCCAGTTAATCACTTGGTACTTAAAATAGCTCCTCCTTTTAAATATATTCCCTTAGCCTAGAGCTTTCCTACTTTCCACCATCTCCTTCCAGGTCATTCTTTGTACCCTCAGGACTCAGCAATGGAATCTTGATGTCATCCCTGACTTAGGCTGAATTTTTCTAGGCTACGTGAGTGATACCCAGGGCATCCTTCCATAATAGCACTTAATACATTTAGTAGAATCACAGATACCAGTTTTCCACATTAAATTGTAATCATCTAAATATCAGGCTCATTCATGTACGTATCCTTAATGGAAAACATAACTTCTGAATAAGTGTTTTTTGAATGACAGAAATATTTAGATTAGACAGTATTTGCTGAATGCTTGCTTAGGCAGGATTCACATGAGCTGGGAAATGAAAAGAAGTGGGCTGGACAGCGTCTGCTTCTCTCTTCTACATTTATAGTATAATAGGAAAAAACAAATGTAAAATAAAATAGAAATAAGAGGGTTGTAACTACCATGGAAACATAAAAGGTTATGGAAAAGTGTCTTATTGCTGTTTTGCTAAAAAATCATCTTTCATATTAAATAGTATTTTCTTCTACAAAAGTTGTATTCTCCCTAAAGAAATCAAAGAAAACCTCAGAAGATGGAAAGATCTACCTTGCTCTTGGATAGGCAGAATTAATATTATCAAAAAGACCATACTTCCAAAAGCACTATACAGATTTAATGCAATTCCGATCAAAATCCCAATATGACATTCTTCATAGAAATAGAAAAAGCAATCATCAAATTCATCTGGATAAATAAGAGACTCAGAATAGCTAAGCAATCCTTAGCAGGAAGAGTGAAGCAGGTGGCATCACTATACCAGACCTTAAACTATACTATGCCGCAGTCCGGCTGCAGCAAACTAGCCGGGGGGTTGACAAGCAACTTGTGTACATTGATACAGCAGGAGAGGGAGCCGTTTATTGTAGGACAACAGAGGTATTTATACATTCCACATAGCTTATCTAATTAACATAAACTCGATACAGCAGTCAACCAATAAGAAATCTCCACACTTAATGGCTCGCTGGAGTTACTTCACAAACCACTCCCTCTGGCAAAATGCCAGGCGCCATCCAGACTTGTTTACAGACCTTAACAATACTACAGAGCAATAGTAATAAAAAACAGAATAGTGTTGGCACCAAAGCAGATTGGTAGACCCGGAGTACAGAATAGAGGACACAGAGACTAACCCACAAAATTACAATTATCTTATATGAGACAAAGGTGCCAAAAACATACATTGGAGAAAAAATAGCCTCTTCAACAAATGGTGCTGGGAAAACTGGAAATCCATATGCAACAAAATGAAATTAAAACCCTATCTCTCACCATGCACAAAACTCAACTCAAAGTGGATCAAGGACCTAGGAATTAAACCAGAGACCCTACGTCTGATAGGAGAAAAGTAGGCCCAAATCTTCATCGTGTTGGATTAGGCCCAACTTCCTTAATAAGACTCCTATAAAGTGCAAGAATTAAAA